AGAAGGGGGAAGGGGGGAAGTGCTTTTCCATGCTTTCAGTCTGGGATTTGCAGCCGGAGGCTCAGGTTACTTAAAGGGCCAGGCTGGAGGGGCACGGGAGAGGCTGCTCAGGGATTGGCCCGTAAGTATCGTTATGGATTCATAGAAGAAACATAGAATTATCAGGGTTGGAGGAGACCTTTAAGATCATTGAGTCCAACCACTAACCTGTCACTGCTGTAACCCCTAAACCATATCCTCCAGTGCCAGATCCAGATGCCTCTTAAACACCTCCAGGGATGGTGACTCCACCACCTCCCTGGGCAATATTCCATTGCCTGAACACTCTCACAGGGAAAACATGTCTCCTAACATCTCCTCTGACTCTGCCCTGTCTCAGCCCAAGGCCATTCCCTCTTAGTCCTCTCCCTGCAGCCATGGCAGGACAGACCGTCCCCCACCTCCTTCAAGCCCCTGTTCAACTCCCTGGTGCTGTGCTGGTTGTGCTCCCTGCAGCTTCCTCGATCCCTTGGCACACCAACCATACAGTGTTTTTTCCATACATGAACCTTCTGATTGCTGAGTTCAACTGTTTTCTAAAGACTCCAAGGAGGTGCTGATGTGCCTTAGGGTCCTGTGAAGACTTTGTGCCAAAAAGAATCAATAAGCGTTGTGTGGGCACATTGAATCTTCTGTTCGTGGATGGAAGAGGCAAGAATGTCACTCTGGAAGTGATCTGCAGTCTGCAGTGGGACCAAACCTGCTGGGTTTGGTGCTATGGCATGTTCAAAGCATATCTTCCAGCTCTGCAACACCACTGGGCACTTGGGCCACTACTGTGACCTGAAAAGCAGAGCAGATCCAACTGTGAGCAACCTTAATGTGACACTAATCTCCCTCTGATAGTGTTTACTTCCCTTCATCAGTTACGTAGGAGATTTAATCCCTACCTCAGACTTTGATGTGGAACTTTGAAGTGAATCCTGTCCCTTATGTGTGACTTTGTCACTCATTTTCTCTGCCCAGAGAGAAACTCCTACATGTTTGTTGAAGCTGGAAGGTAGACCAGAAGGCACAGGGAGTTCCAGTGCCAGTTTTCACCTGCTTTCTCCTCCTCCAGACCTTATTCTGTCTCTGGGACAATCTGTGGACAGAATCTGTGCAGTTGAAATCTTGAGGCTCCTCCAGCCCCTCTTGTATCACCCAAGGGAATGTGAGGCCCTGTTTCAATCCAGGCACAACCAGTGCAAATCCTCCTCTCATAAATGAATGTTGTCAAGGATGTGTCTTCATTACTTCACTTTCTTAATCGGTCACTGCATTCCAAATCCCCTTGGAAAGGCCATGGTGGCAGACTTTCGGGGCAGAATGGGAATGCTGGCACAGGTTGCCCAGGGAGGCTGTGGCTGCCCCAACCCTGGCAGTGTTCAAAGCCAGGTTGGCTAAAGCCTTGAGCAACCTGGTCTGGTGGGAAGTGACCCAGGGACAGGGTGTTGGGGCTGGATGACTTCTAAGGTCCATTCCACCCCCTTAGTACTATGATTTGATGATTCACTGGGCTGCTGAGCCGTCACCCTCATCTCCAAGTGGTCCTTGCCCTGCAGGATCATCCTGGGGGGCTCTGTCTGCAGGACCTGATGTGGCAGCTCTGAAAGCCATGGGCAGAGCAGAGCAGGGCTGGACAGTGTGACCAGGTCACCATGCCCAAGGGGCAGAGAGGTACACAGGGATGTTGTCATCAAGGTGTGACGTCATGATGGACTTTGGCAAAGGATGGTCAACCTGCCCCAGGCTGAACTCAGCTGCATGAGAGCAGCTTGAAGGCAGCAGGGGCTGCTGAAGCAAAGCCTGCAGAGCTCAAGCTTCGAGTGTTTCAGGGCATTTGCAGGTGCAGATCCTCATAAACAAAGTCTAGTGGAGATAGAGACCCAAACACACCTTTCTCAGGGAACATCAGTACCAGTCGCCATGTTCCAGGCTTGAAGGCTACTGAACTGGAGAGGCTGCCAAACCACCCCAGGGCTTAGCCAGCACCATTCTAGGCTAGTTCCTAGGATCTGAACATCCTGGGACAGATGGGAGAGTGGAAGGAAAGAATTCCCTTGATCTCTGTTTCTTTCCCATTTTTTTGTGGATGATCTTTAATTGAACACCTACTTCAGTCTTTTATTGTTCATGAATTTTTAGGAAAGCCTTGGAGGCAAGTAGGAAATGCTCAGTGATTAAACACGCAGCTTGGCCAGGGAGGGAAGCAGAAGATGACTGAATACACAGCAAACCCCAGGGGTAAACTTTTACAGGGTGACTCAGTGGAAAAGAGCAGAGGCAAAGCAGCAGAGGATAAAGGCTGCACCTCCAGAGAAGGGCTGAAGTCATTCCCCCAGTGGAATGAGATGGGAGAGTAGCTACAATCCATGCTTCAGTGCAGAGGGAACCTTCCCTCCAGTCTGTGCTAGATGGGCAGGAACAGGGATGGTCCAGGTGCCCGGGGGTTGTATGGAACACAAGAGGACTCAGGTGTGTCCAGTGTAGAGCATCATAATGGGCTGTAATGGCCTTAATGAGCTGTAATGGCCCTAAGGAGCCTCATCTGTGCTCTCCACCCACACCCATGGGCCCAGGAGCAGATTTAAGCTCAGCCTCCAGATTGGATGAGTCCTTCAGCCTGTGGTGTGGTGTTGGTGCCTGCTCTGTCTGCTCCAGATTTGCTGTTCCTGGATGGATCCAAAGCTCCTTTGTGCCTTTGCCGTGTTGGGAAGTGCAAATGGAACCTCTTGGAAGGACTCAGCCTCATATGTTCCCAGAGAGATCCTGTTGGTGAGGGCACTGCCAGTGCTGGGCCACCTTAGCTCATTCCTTTGCATCCCATAGGACCATGGATCAGTCTGGAAGCTGTTACCATTCCCAAAGTGTCTACCTCCTCCTCCTGCTTCCCCTTGGCTCCTGGCCCTGAGGTAGGTGGGATGCATCCTGTGACTCTTTGTTGTGCAATAAGTTTTGTTGGGGAGGTATGTTGAGCACTGAAGTCTGATTCTGCTCCTGGAGCTCATCAGACAAATGCCATGAGATAACAGGAGCAGCAATGTGCAAAGATCCTGGTTTTTCTCCAAGATAAACAGCTTAGGAGCAGATCTCCATTCCTGCAAAGCAGACTAACAGCTACCCTGGGAGCAAGAACAGGGAAACATCAGACTGGGACTGGTGTTACCTGGTTAAAAACCAAAGAATATTAAGAATAAAAGACAGAAAAACATCAAATCTGCTCAGTAAATATTAGGCTTTGAAAGGTTTGGAGTTATTTCATTTGCAGATCCCATGTTTTTTTTATACAGGGCTGGTTTTAGGGCAGCTCCTTCTGAGAGAGCTCAGCTAAGCTTGGGCTGGCAGCCAGAAATGCTCTTCTCAGCCTGCTCTTTAGGCAGTTGCTTAGGAATTTGCTATTAAAACACCCAGATTGTGCTACCTGCTTGTAGTAAAACATCCCACACCACTGATGAGGCTGTTGTGAGCTGTACCAAAACAACTGCTCCCCTCCAGCCCTGGGGAGAAGCTTGTGAGCATCTCACACTGTTTCACTGTGTGGAGGCTGCCAGGCTGTTTTCCAGGGCAGCAGCAGAGCCAACCTGCTTTTTGGCTTCGTTTTCCCCTTCCTGAAGCCGGATCCAGGCTGTGAAATGACCCCAGGGCTTGGCAGGCTCCTCAGACCTGTTGGTTGCTCACCACAGGTAGGTCTGGGGGGGTCAAGAGATGGGTCGGGGAACGGGTAGAATCCAAGCACAGCAAAGTGGCAGGAGTTGGGTTTAAGTCTCAATCTGAGGTGTGAAAAGCTGCAGGAAAGGCTTTGCTGTGTTAATGCACAGTGCTATTTGGTGCAATTGGTGGGAAATAGGGCTGCAATGGACTGGGAGAGGTTGCCTGGCTCAATTCCCTGTGCTGAATGGAGGTCTGACCTCTCTGCCAAGAGCTGCTGCTGCTAGAGATCTCAGTTTCTAGAGTGAATTTATCCCAGCACTTTTCTGCTATACAGAAGTCTCTTTTTGCTGCAATTTCTCCCTATTGCCTCCAAACCCACTGACAGGGAAAGCTGTTGCTTTGCTTCATGAGAGGAATTGAAGCTGCCTGAGCTGCCTCCTTGTTTCCTTCCCTTCTCACCTTTCAGGTCCTGTTTTCCAGACCTTGTTCTTTCCCT